GAAATATCTGTTGAAATTTCTGTCTTTCTGTGTTTAATTTCTGTTAGTTTTAGGTCTGTTTTGTTACATCAAAGTGTTTCGGAATTAAATCCTTGTCTTCTTTTTTCTCCCTTCCAGCAGAAGTAGCACCAAAGGGTAACAGAAAACATAACTTGTCTAATTTGTCTATAAGTTTTCAACACTTTATCTTCACAGTTGATTCAACATGGCCACAGCACCAATCTGGCTTTACTGGAGAGTAAAAAAAAAAGGAAAATAAATGTTTCTTTGTACTACTTTGACCTTAAAATACCACAGACACCATCCATCTTCTTGTGTTATTTGTGTTATTTTCAAATTGAATCACTCAGCACATCAGGTCAAAAAGTCAGAGGCCACCATTTCTTCTCCCTGCTAGAAGGATAGAAAGCTTTGACAGGAACAAGTGTTTGCTGATTTATTTATTTTTTTAAAAAAAAGTTATTTTAGGCTTTGTTAAGCACCAGGACTTTAATTTCTGTTTAAAGTATTCAAACCAATAAATTATTTAATACGGAAAATACTTACCACTTTCCATCCATGCTAATAATCAAATTACTTCTGTTTTCTAGACAAAGTTGGATTTGCCATCCATTTTCACCAAAACCCTGATTTATTGGTCCTTTTCTTTTCTCACTGACGTGAGCCAGCAACACTCCCTTCCCTGCCAGGAGGGGCATGTCCAGGTCCATTTCTTTTGTAACAGAGCTGACAAAGATCTCAGGCTTTGGTCCAAAACCAGTATCTTCCAGGGTCTCTTCAAATTCTGCCTAAAATTTAGCAATAAAAGTCATGTCATTATTTCCAGATAATGAAGAGTTATTGTGTGAGGGAGCATTGCAGAGCTGTCAGCTTTGGTAGTGTGGTAGCACAGGTTTGCACTGAAGACAAAGGTGCTGGGTCTGCAGGCTTGTCCCTATGCTCATCAGATGGTAAAAGGAGGCAACACCATGTAGAATGGTGCTGAGCTAGACCTAGGATGGTCTTGCACTTTTGTACCACTGTGAAAGTCAGGAGATGCTTTCTTTTCTTCCTTTTTCTCTAATTCCTTTCCTTTTTTTTAAATTTGTTTTTATTTTTTTATTCCAACATTTGGATGAAACTGCTGTTTGTAAAAAACTTCACAGTAAAAGAGCAAGAGCTACTCCAGAGCAGTCAGTGCCAGTTGCTGGTGTTTGCTGGGGACAAGTGTATTTCAGGTCATGCAAGTTGTAAATTTTATCAGGTTAAGTAAAGACTGACTGTGAATCTCCTCAGCTTGCTCTTGGTGTCTTTGTCTGTGTCCCTTCCTCTCTGCTCCTCAGCCTAGAAAACATGCCCAATAAAAGTTCAGTCAAAACAGCACACTCTCATGGAGTTTTAGTTCAGATGAAAATCATTTTGCTGGTAAATTCCTTGAAAGTGCAGAAATGTGAAGTGATTTTACGTGAAGGGAAATTTATTATAGATATGTTGCCCCTTAATTGAGATAATCTCAGACAATGATGATGAAGAGAGATGATCAGGGATTGTACTTTTAAAATGCCATTCTGACTAGAAAAGCAATTTGGGATCCACTTACATCTCAATAATGAAAATTGGGTAAGGTAATAAGAGATTTCATTTTGTGAGTGAATTGATAATGCAAATACCAGGATTTTTAATTTAGGTTTAAGTGAAGTACTGGCTACTCATTCTGATGCATCATTAGTCATATTGCTTTTTAATGAGGGATTCACTTTCTTTTCCTGGTTAGCTCTAACACTGCTAACAAAGCTCAAAGACTGCATATATGTTTAGGGATATCTGATGAATACATGTCACTGCACCATGTTAATTTAAAAAAAAAATAAAAGGAAGAAAAAGCTGTTTTCCCTCTGTGGTGAAAAACACACATTTGCTTCCAGTATAAGGAAAATAAATAGTGCAGAACCGTGATTAGTAGGCTCTTGTAAAAAATAATTAGAGTAAGATACATTTTGGAAAAAAATCTAGAAAATACAGAAGGAAAATTGCATTGAGTGGAGTGGAGTGCTTGTGAAGGGACTGACTTCATGGCTGGCAGTGGTTGTAAAAACTATTTCTTTGGCCATCTCAAATGTGGATGCATTATAAGTAATGGCAGATGAAGATTCTTGCCCTACCAAAACCACCCCATGCCCCAAACACCTCATTCCTCTTCTGCTCACTGTTTTTATTTCTTAGATGTCTTTTCTTCTCCTTCTCCTTTTATTCTTTTTTTCTGTTTTCCTTTCTTTTCTTTAATTAAGGTCTTGTTTTCATGTTCATTGAACTCAGTGGGAATCTCTCCATCAAACTGAATGCATTAGGTCAGACTCATAATCAGCAGTCACTGGAACAACCTAACAATAGTTTTGTCACACACAAGTACACTGTCTTAAATGGGATTTGCTTTAAAAAAGCAATAGAACTAATCCATTATAAACACTTGTTAGAGCAGAGTTTTGGCTGTATCTGTGTATTTACCAACACAATTTCAACCAATTTAAGCCAAATTGAAATTAATGTGAATTCTTGCTCCAGGCAGGAGCACAGGGCAGTTAAACCAATTTAAACTAGCATATTTTCAGCCATGGCAGTATGATATTGTGCCTTGACCAGACGTAGTTGTCTGACTGCTTTACTTTCTTTGGTGTTTTGACTTGCTACGAGGACAAGCTGTGACGTGGTAGAACACATGCTACATCTAATGTACAATGACCCAGTCAGATCAGGGGGCAAGAGAACAAATTCCTGGCAGACAAACAAATGTCCACCAAATCTCCCTTTCTCATGCCTGTTTCTACACTCCTGGTGCCCCGTAAGCACGGGACGTCTTGCAAATATCACTTTGCAAAGCTCTGAGCAATTCAGGACCTCTAAACACTGTTGAGGCAGCGCACGTCCTCCTGGAGCAGAGCCTTGGAGAAGGTCTGTGACCTGTGAGTTGTCCAGCACAAAGCTACAACCTCACATTTTCACTCTACTCTTTGATTCTGCTTTTCCCTTGCCCATTTGTCATGGCTGTCAGGGAAGGGTGCATGAGCTCCAGAGCTGTCAAACTAAAGGAGTGGGTAGCAGAGCGTCGAGACCTCTCCAGGAGGCTCCTGTCCCCTTGTGCATGTACAACAGTGACCCTGTGCACGTACAATAGTGAAGAAAAGGTTGCACACAGCAGGCCAGTGGAAGTGTAACCACCTAGACTAAAATCCTTTCAGGATAACCAGTGAGAGACCCCTGCACGTCACATAGCTGAGACAGCACCAGTAAACTGAGTCTTCTCATCTCGTCGTCTTCCTCTGTGACCTGCTAACCTTCCTTTGAAAGCATGTACCTCTCAGGCATGGTGGAGGAAACTCAGTTTTGCAGCTGTCACTTTTTAACTTCAGAGTTATCTCCTTCAAATCTTTCTGTCTCTGACTCTCTCTTGTGAAAATCGAAAGAAATATATATAGACTGTGATCTTCCCTGGTGCCGCCTTGTAAAGTCAAGGAAGTCCCAGACATCTAGTATGCTGAAGCCATCCTGTATCACTTGACTCCATATGAGGCAGAGCACTTCCCAGCAGATTGGGTGACACAGGACGAGCATCCATTCCTCACAATGGCGTTCTTGAAAACTGCCCTTCTCGTTACAGCTTGTAAAAGGAAAGTTGATAAGGGTGAGGGCACCAGGATGCTTGTGAAAGCACTGGGTCACACTAGATGCTTTAGCCTAAGAAAATAGCATTTGGAAATAAAACCAAAGCGAGCATGTCCTAAAACAGGCCACGTAGCTACACAAAAATGTTTCTGACACTGATAGAAAATTATCTATCCACTCTGAATGCAATGGTTCTTCTCTGCTATATGGGAGCAAGCGTTGAAATGAACTTTCAATATTTCCAGAGATCTATGCACGGACACAGTCCTCAAAGTCTCGGTCATGGTCAGACCTTTGGGGTTACTGAAAGGTTTTTATCTACAGTTGAGATGATTTATGAGCTTTTCCATTAAATTTTATTGCACCAGTGCCTTTTTCTTTGGTTCTTTTGAAGTAGAAAACGTTATTTCTGCAGCAAATACAAGTCAAAAGTCTTAATGGAGCATAAAAATCTAAAAGGTCATGATTTTATAGTTTTAAAATAGAGAACTGTGCACTGTTTGATACTCTTAAAAATATGGAAAGTTAATAAGAATGTTTTTTGATAATAAAAGATACAGTCTTTTCCTAGACCTTTGATTCTGGCTGCTTGTATATTGTTTTCTTATGGGTGTACTTTTATAAATGAGAAATGTTTCTTGTTTATAGGGCTGTCCCATTTCAGAATCACAGAGAGAACTAGTAACACGGGGCAGAAACTTTGTTCCTGGGAGATTATGCAGTGCTCTCGACACCCAGTGCTACTTCTCCATTCGAGCAGAGACTATTGATTGCATTTATCTGATTTCTAGGGCCATATAGACTACCTTTATTTATTTGACTTTGTTTAAGACCTGTGGGTGTTTGCGAATTTATAACCAAGTAAGAAACTTCCGGTCACACACATTTTGCAGGTTTAGGTGCATCACAGTAGCACTGTTTACGAATTCTCATTGCTTTCCAGATGCAGGTGATTGGAATTGCCTGTGCTATTTTAAGAAGAAAAATCTAGGAAATGTTGCCTGGTGAATTCCTTTTGCTGACCTTGATCTGACCTGAAGTCTTAAAAATATTTTTTCATTTGCATCTTAGCAAATGACCACGTAGGAACTTAGGTAAAATAAAAATGCCTTTTTCCTGTATCACTTAATGGAGTAGACCTTGAACAGTACAACTCCAACTGCTTGCAGATATTTTCTCCTGATGTGGGCATGGAAAAAGGGGTTTATTACAATGTTCACTGTCACTGCTTTTTCAGGGAGAAGTACTGGGAACAGATCATGGGACAGAAGTGGTCATGGGAAAAGCCAGTACAGCAGCAGGGGCACAGCTTTTCTTCTTCTCATTAATACCGAATGTCCTTTTTTCTGTCATCTTTGCAGCAGTCCAGCACAGGAGACCTGAGGACACTGAGGAAAGGGTTGTCCCCTTACCACTCTGAGTCACAGCTCTCGTCACTGCCGCAGTATCAAGACGCCCTGCAAAACGTAAGAGACGTTTCCTTGCCTGTACAGACAGAGCCGCGGGTTTCCCCCAGAGTGGGCACGGCTGGAGGAGAGCACGTGAAGATCTCAGGGGAGCTGTCCCAGCTTGAGCGTTCACCCTGAAACCGGTGGTGCAGATGTGCAGCGGAAACCCGCAGCTGTTGGGAGGGTGGGCAGCTCCTGGAAATACTGATTTTTACCTGAGTTTGGGTCATCAGCTTCTCAGCACAGGTTTTTCAGTAAACTGATGGTTGCTGTTGTGCATCTTTTAAAGCAAGGGTGAGTCTTGTTATACCTGCAGCTCCTTCTTTGTAAGTGCCTTGTATGCCTGCTGTCCAAAAGCTAGTTGTGGCTGAGGCAAAAGATGGTTTGACAAGCATCTGGCAGTGTGTGGTTGGGGTTGCTTTAGCAATTAAGTTCTTAGGGCTTTCCTTGCAGGTTTTTCTGTATCTGGTTTATGTTTCCTAAGATTTGCCTGGATTGCTTCTTCTCAAACAATGGAAAAATCTTGATTAAAGCCTCTTGCCAAAGATGGATACTGTGCTGCTGTGCCAGGGCTCCTCCTGCACTGGTGTGCCAGGCATGGCAGAGTAGGCTGAGCCCTGCCAGATGATTTTCTTCCAGATGTTTGCCTGACTGCCTTGAAACGCTACATTTGCTTGATGACATCATTTTCCAGATTGCAGGAAAAATGCAGATGCAGTCAGGGAGTCCTTCTGTGAGTGGGCTGTGAGCGTTGTGAACGTGAGCAAAAGCCTGATGGCAGCACAGCCAGGGACCTCCCTGCTGCCCCGTGTCTTCTGCTCCGTGTTCAGGGCACTGGTCAGCAGGGCTGTGGCTACTGCAGGACCAGCTGTGTGTTGGCTGCCTGCTTGGGTAAAAGTAATTCTGTAGATTTAATGTGTCTGTTAGAGCTGTAAAAAAGGAACTAATAATAATTTAAGAAGGTTTGCATAAATAACACTCCGTTGTGAAAGCAGAGCCCCTTTCTATCCCTGATGAACTACAGAATGGATGGAGACCCTTCAGCCAAAAAAAGGGGACAAATCCAAGTGAATGAAATTGAACACTGTGGTTGAATATTCACTTTTCTAACTTTGTGCCCCATATATAAATTTAGGAGGCTTTATAAAGAGAGCAGAGAGATATGAGCCTGGAGATGTTCATTTGGCTGTGCCGGTGACTTAACGGTTTTGGGGACTTTACTTCGTTTCCCTTGTGCTCAGGCTTTTGATCCCTGGCTTGGTTCCAGGTGGGGAATGCTCAGTCAGCCTGTACTGGGTGCCCCGAGGAGCCCAATTTTACATTTATCTTGTGGGTGAGGCTCAGATACAAGCTGGCAGCTTTCTGCAGGGAAGCTGTGCCTGGCCTGGGAGCTGGCAGGGGATTTTGCCTGAGCTGACCGGGGCTGCATGAGGGCTGACGGCAAACAGTGCTGCCTGCTGGAACCCTTTCCAGCCACTTGTCCCTGCTTAGAATCATAGAATGGCCTAGGCTGGAAGGGACCTTAGAGATCATCTAGTCCAACCGCCCTGTTTTGGGCAGGGACACCACCTCTCATCTAGGCCTGGCAACACATGGGGACCGAGCGGGAATCGAACCCACGACCTCGGTGTTAGTCCTTGTTGCCAGCACCGCGCTCAAACCACTGAGCTAACCGGCCCCCTGATTGAATCCAATTGCTTTGCCTCCTTCCTGCAGGAAGAGGTGGTACCTGGTGTTTGTGGAGAGTCCTGGGTGCTGCATGATACTCACCTTCATCTGTCACCCTGACTGTATTCTGTCTTCTGTGTGGGAAGATGATAGTCCACATCGTCTGGGACACTTACAAAGCCATTTATTTACCAATTCCTACCAGAATCCCTTTGGTTTGTGGCTTGACATGCATGATACATGGTTTTTGTGACATGATGTATTGTGACGAAGGATAACGATCACAGATTCATGCAGATGTCTTTGAATGTCTCAGGTATCTCCCAGAAAGTGGGCAGTTAGATGTTCCTGGCTTTCTCTGCAGCCTTTTTTTTGACAGCAGGCATGAGTTTGTGAGAAATTGTTCCTCTTTGCGGCTGCACAGGTTTCACCCGAATGAGTGATGGACAATTGGTGTCAGCTCCAAAGCTATTACATCTGTTCAGGGTTTCATCATTGTCACTGCCTTTGCAACTCTTTGGGGAAGTTCCTCAGCAGATCCCTCACTGTCACACATTTTGCACATAGGCATCACTCCAGCTCTCCATGGCCCTAACATACCCCAGTTAATGAAGCATTTTGGTGTTTCTAGTGGTTTCTGGATCATGGACGCCAGTGCACACGCAAGATATATAATTGGAAGACACTCATAATTGCAATCTGTGTACTGTTTAGTCAGTGGTGCATCATGCAGATGCTGAATTATAGATTTACTCTGTGTTCTGCAGTGGTTACTGAATATCCAGGTAAAGCAGTCCCAGGGTTTAGTTCTGATCTATAAGGCCCTGGCCATTGCAAGGGATGGCGTGACGGGTATGTTAGCTTGGGCTGTGACAGCAGGCTGCTCAAACTCCCCATCCCTGTGAACTGCAAACCAGAGTCATCTCATGGTGTACCAAAGGCTCCCCATGTCCTTTGGGAGCTGAGGGTGATTCTCTTGTACTTGGACTCCGGGTGAGGCATGAGAGCAGGCGGCAACAAGCAGCTCCCTGTGGGACCTGCTCTGGGATGAGAGGAGCAGGCCCCAGGGCAAGCTGATTGGGCTGGCTCAATCCTTTCCATTGCTGGCAGCCTCCAGTACTGCTCAGCCTTGAGTCAGATGATGTCCCAGGCATGGGAGTGACTTTGGGCTACTGTGAGCAGTGCACTGCTGAGGACCTGGTGACCAGCCTGGTGTCTGGGTGTCAGCGATGGAAATGGTCCCAGTGCATCCTTAGAGGGCTTGCATTTGCTAGCCCAGGCTGTTGCTGTGTTCGTTTTGTTGGCGTTATCCAAGGAGCTGCATTTTGCCTGGTCATAATGTCTCACCACTGGTTAGTGAGGAGTAAATTACATTTCAGTATCACTGGGAGTTTAGGGACAGTAATGGCAGTTTCGGGTAATTGCTGTTGCAAGGGGAGGAGGAGCCTTGTGTTGGCGCAGTGCTGTGAGTCAAGACTGGGAACTGTGCCTGCCACCATGGAGGGACTCTTCTCCTGCAAATACATGTGCCTTCATTTAACCTCTCCGTGCCTCAGTAGTTCCCTTGAAGGAATTGGGTAAGAAATCACCCAATCCGTAGCATGATTTTCAGGCAGTTCTTTATCACTAATCTAAAGAGCACTAGATGCTCCAGGATCCTCCAGAGGTAAACACTAAACAGTGGTGGTTAATTTTTGGAACAGTGTTGCTCTCCTGGAGAGTTTGTTTGTTTCTCTCCTGGGCTTTCTCCAGCATTAACTGAATGATAAGTAAAGACTGGAAGGTGGAGTTGTTCGCTCTTGGTATCAGCTCTCACGTCTGTTGCTCTCCAGAAAACCACCCTACACAGTCCTTAACCTGTGGTCACATCTAATGATTGCCGAATTGGGTTTTTGACATGGAGAGAGTGCGTGATGGAAAAGAAAATTCTTCATCCACAGCAGTAAGGCTCTTATTTTGTTACTAATAGTCATGTTTCAGTGATTTGTTTTCTGAGAGATGGAATCTCAGCTGCTGACTTCTGGATCATTCAAGACCCCAATAGCACAGCTGAGGATGAATGTGATGGCAAAGGCACAGCCTAGAGCTTGCGTCTGTGTCTCTTCTCTGCTCCCTTCTTGGGTGCTCTGGCTGCCCACGTGGACCCACATTCCCTGCAGACAGTCACATTCCTGCCTGCTGCTCTGGAGCTGTGTCCCAGGCACATCTCATGCCCAGGCATGGGAAGGTGACCTACGGGCTGCTCATATTCCTATGGTTGGAGGTGGTTTCACCTTGAGAAGCTCATAAGCCAGCTGCCTGGAGAGGCTATTTATCCACATTGGCATAAAACACCAGTAAATGTGAACCAGCCTGTTACTAGCCATTGGAGCTATCCTGGCTGGCTTAGATTTAAAACTTACTGGCAGCATTCATGTGATCTATAATAGGAATCCTGCCTTGGGAAGGAACTGTAGAGGCCTGTAACAGAAATATTAAGGTTAGCATGGATGGAGTGTGAATAGCACAGTGTGTGTGCAAACGCCAGCAGGACCACTAGAGCAAGGGATGTGGGGATGGTCTGTGCTGATGACTGAAGAGACAACTGACAGCAAACAGATGGGTAAACACTGCAGGATGTGTGGTTTGCGTCAGGACCAGGAGATCTGTGCTTAGCGATAAGGCCGCAGCACAAATGGCTCTTCACTGCAAGACCTGTTCCCTGATAAAGGGTGCAAGGTTACGCCGTCCTGTGCCGTTGTGCTTCCTGGGGTTCCAAGGAGAAGACTTAGATAAGATGCCCAAAATGAGGGAAAGGAGACAGCAGGCAGCAGCACTCCTAGGATTTATTGGGGATGAGTAAGCAAGATGCTGCGATAAGGATCAGCCTGTAGTAACTGTTGACTCCTAAAGTGTGTGAAAAATGTGTCCAAACCCCAGTTCTTTGCTGTCATAGAGAAGGGATACCAGAGCTGTCATTAGGACTTGCTAATGGGTGTTCCTTGTTCTCCGTGTCGCACACAGTGACCCTAACCGTGCTGCATGGACATCTACCTTTCTGTAAATGTGTGAATGGGAGTTTGTAGGTGTGTGGGTATGAGTGACATGCTAGAGAAATCGGGTTTAGGTTAAAATAAATGTTACCTTCGCCTTCCTTAAGTTTTTGTACTGAGTCCGTACTGTGGCAGTTTTCTGTGTTACCCTTGGCTGAGGACCATGAGCTCCCAACCGTGTCTCGGCCAGGTGCAGGAGGACACATCTGTAGGTGCTGTAGGTAGTGGCTGGAGGAAGGGATCTGTGCTCCCCCAGAGACTGGAGCTGGGAGTCCCCGGGAAAGCACCCGCAGACACACTCTGTGAGTGCTAAGCAAG